TAAAGAAAAAAGGAAGACAAACAAAAAGCAGAAAGCAGTAAGATGGAACAAAATTTAGTAACTGAACATTTTCCAGTTGAATAAACTGGAGGTGAGATTTACTAAGAAAATAGAAAATGAGGGGCCAGCTGGTGGCATGGAGTTAAGGCAGCTGGATCCCACCTGGCCCACGACATGGTCTGAGTCCCATACCAGCCTGAAAAACACACGAGTGCATGTGCCCACGAAAGGGGGGAAAATGAGGAAAAGAGACTGTGGCGTGAGCATCCTCCATGGGGGATGCTTTCTCATTTTCTCTGTATCTCTCCAGTGATTGCACAATCATTCTGGCAAATAAAAGAGAGAGAGAGAGAGAAACAAAAAAACAAAAAACAGAAGATTTAAAATAAATATGGAGAGCCAGCAGATGGCATAGTGGTTAAGTAACGACTCATACATGGCCGGCCGCAGTTGGAGTTCTGGACCCACTGGCTTGAACATCACCCCAGGCACGTATGCATGTGCATCTGAGATCCCAGAAGAATAGAGGAGAAGGGACCGAGGTGTGGCCATCCTCCCTAGGGGGTGTGGGGGGGTAATTTCTCACTTTCCCTCTCACTGTCTCTGTCTCTCTTGCTCTCTGGTGAGCACACATGTCCAATAGCAAAAACCTTTAAAAAACTTAAAAAATAAATAAATAAATAAGGGCCAGCATGTGACGTAGTGGTTAAGGAGCTGGATTCCTGCACGGCTGACTATGGTTCAAGTCCCAGACCCAGCAACTTGAGAATCACACCAGGCACATGTGCGTGCCCAAAATCCGAAGAGGAGAACAAGGGAGAAGGGACTGTGGTATGACCATCTCCCCAGGGGATAATGTCTCACTTTTTCTCTCCCTTTTTCTCTTTGGAGAGTGTAATGTGCTCTATTGCAAAAATCCCCTTTCTTCCACAAAAAGGACTATATAGAACAAAAGTGAGAACTAATAATATTGTAACTACAGAAAAAATAACAATATTATGATTTATTATACCAATTTAAAAATTTATACAAAATGGATAAATTTCTGAAGTGTCAAATTGGGAATAAGACAACTTTAAAAATAAATTGAAATAAGAGAATTCTTCCTTTAAAGAAAACACATCTAGGGAACCAGCAGTTAGTGTAATGGCTATGTCGCTGGACTCCCACGTAGTCAACCGCGGTTCGCGTCCCGGACCTGGTGGCTTAAAACTGACGCCGGGTGCATGTGCGTGCGTGCCCAAGATCCCGAGAGGAGAGTGGTGGAGAAGGGATTGCGGCGTGACCATCCCCCCTGGGGGATGATTTCTCGCTTTCTGTCTCTATGTCTCTCTCTGTCTGGCGAGCGCATGCGCCCTGTGGCGAAGATCTCTCCAAAAAAAAAAAAAATAAATAAATAACACATCTAGATTGCCTCTAAAGAATAGAATCTCTATCTTATATAGTTTTCCAAAAGGAGAAATAAAAAAAATTGCTAAGCTCTTTTTTTTTAACTTTTTTTTTTTTGGAGAGGTTTTTGCTATAGGGCACGTGTGCTTGCCAGAAAGACAGAGAGAGACAAAGAGACAGAAAGTGAGAAATCACCCTCCACCTGGGGGGGTGGGGGGTGGGAGAGGGCTACACTGCAATCCTTTCTTCTCCATTCTTCTCTTGGGATCTTGGACACACATGCACACGCACCCGGTGTGAGTTTAAGTCACCAAATCTGGGACTTGAACAGTGGTCGACTATATGGGAGTCCAGCGACATAGCCATTGCACAAACTGCTGGTCCCAGTAAGCTCTTTTTTTGAAGCTAATGATATTAATACATAATTTTAAAACAAGGAATATAAGAAAATAAAATTATAGTCCTGTTTTAGTTATAAAGCAGAAAATTTTCCAGAATAATTTAACATTAGAAATATCTATCTGGGGCTGGCAGGTGGTGTGGTGGTTAAGGGCATTGGACTTCCACATGACCAACTGCGGTTTGAGTCCTGGACCTGGCGGCTTGCTTTCTCACTTTCTCTCTCTTTCTCCCTCTCTCTGTCCCTCTCTGGTCAAATTAAAATAAATAAAGTTAAATTTTTAAAATTCTTTTAAAAAGAAAATAAATTCTATCAATATAAATTTATCATATTATGGATTAATTAGTGTGGAAAATTTGTGTAACTATCTCAGTGGGTTCTTAAGTTCAATAACCTGTTTATGATAAAATCAAAGAAAGCAGGAATAAGAAAATATTATTATGCTTGGTAATAATGCTTGATGGTCAAACTATGATAAATATTATGCTTAAGGAAATTTGCAATGTTATCTTTAAATTCAAAAACAAAAAAATTATCATTGTTATCTTTGGGCTGGTCCTGTTGCCTAGGGAACCAGATTCCACATGGCCAATTTTGGTTCAAATTCTGATCTTCATAGCTAAAAAACATGCTGGGTATGTGTGTGTGCATCCCATCAGGATGGAGGAATGGAGGAGAAGAAATTGAGTTGACTACACCCCATTGGAAGATGCTCTCTCTCTCTCGGTCTCTTTGTCTCTGGTGAGTACAGATACCCTGTAAGCAACTAAAATAAAAAATAAATTAGGAGGTATAAAGATTAAAAAGGAAGAAACAAAACTGTCGTTATTTGTAAATAGTAGAATTTCTCCCTAACATATTTTAACACCTAACAAAAAGGTCATGGTTAAAAAAAAAAAAAAAAAAAAAAAACCTGTTCGTTACTATAAGAAGACAAAAACAAAAAGCAATAGCACTAAAAGTTCCATCTGCAAGAGCTGAAAACAGAGCTCATTGACGAAGAAAACACAGATTAAACGGTAGCCAATATTAGGAAATTTGGATCACTATATAATGAAGATTAATTCTATATATCAGGTTTAAAGACCTTTTAGGTTTAAAGACCTAAATATGAAACAGAGATGTATAAAGCTAATAAATTTGAGGTTAACTTTGTGAACTTCCATGGATGAGAATTTAAAAAGTAAGACCCCAAACTCAAATTTTTAGGAGCAAAATGGATAGTTTTAACAACATTAAAGCATTAAAGACTTCTGTCCCTCTAATGATATAAATGAGAACTGTATAGAGTGATGCCAAATGGGGAGAAGTACTCTATATGTAGCATGGGGGTGGGTATCTTCGCACAGAAGGTAAGCTCTGTACATAAGGTCCTAGATCTTATAGGGCTAACCACTTTTCGAATCCTGGCCCTGGAGGCCTGAAAAACATTATGAGTACATGTACATACATGCCCAGACTCCTGATGGGGTGGAGAAAGAGGAGTATGTATCGTTGCATGACCACATTCCCTTGGGGGGTTTTTCTCTCTCTCTCTCTTTCACTTTCTCTTTCACTGTCTGGCAAACACATGTGCCTTCTGGTAATATATTTTTTTTCCTCCAGGAAAGATTATAATAGCAGGTTTTGAATTTATTCACTGATTAGAAATGACATGTATCTTTATGAAAGTCTTTGAGAGGAGCCGGCTCCATAGCACGGTGGTTAAATATTGTGCATTGGGAACTGGATTCCACATGGTCAATTTTGATTTGAATAGCTTGAAAATATGCCGGGTACATGTATGTGCTGCCCCAAATTGTAAAAGGATGGAGAAATGGAAGGTAAAGGATTTCAGTATGACCATGCTACACTGAGGAGTGCTTGCTCTCTCTCTCTGATGAATGTGCACATCTTCTGGCAATAAAAAACAAAAAAAAAAAAAAAGAAAAAAAGAAAATCTTTGTCAAAAGCTTATACCATAAATAATAGTTTGTCCTTGGCAATATATTTTTTTTAAAATTCAGAATATAAAGGATATAGGATAAAACAAAAATTCTGCAAATATAGATAGCCAACTAGAAATTGCATGAAGGTGTTAGACAAGACTTCACAGGAGGAGAAATTTGAATGGCCAACAAATATATGAAGACATTCTTGTATTTATTAATATTCATAAATATGCAAATCAAAATATTCAAAATAGTGATGATAGGAGGGGTTCTCAGGACACAAAAGGAAACAAAGATATTAATATTAATATATCCTCATTTGAAACACTACTTTATGAAAGATGGGTTATGAATTTAAATAAATCTTTATTTCCATTTGTTTCTAAAATGATAATTGCTACTATCAAATTCATGATTTAATTAAAAAAGGTTAAATTTTAAATCTGAAGTATACACAATGACAGCAAACAAACAAACAAACAAACAGAAACATAAAACAGATACCTGGTAATTACCTAAGTGTGAGAAGTCAGTGGCTCATTAAAGTCTGTCCGTCTCTTCTGAGGTGCAGTCACACGCGTTCTTTGACCTAGAGGTAGAATGACATTGGTGCATCCATCAGAGGAATACAGCCCAAGCACTCCCCCTCATGGCAGTGGACTGTAAGAGTATGCTATACGCAAAAACGGGGAGATTCAGAATCAAAGTCTTAAGATTGACCAAAATATCTTTTCAAATGCTTGACTCAGCTCCAATTACAGAACTAACATGTTATTTCTACTTTATAATAGTGAGAGCTGTAACTTAGGATGTTTTCCTTTGGAGAGCATATGGACTATACTACCAGATTTATACCTTTGTTCCTTATCTGCTTCATAAATTTAGATTCATGCACATAGATACTTAACATATCCCCTTGGATGTAAAATAGGCATCAGAATTAGCATGCTCAGAATAGAACCCTTCGTTCTCCCTCTGAAATTTGTTCTTCCTTACTCCTTTCCACGGTTTATTTCATCTAATGTTTAAAAACGTCCAATCATCAAGATAGTTTTTTTTTTTCCTTTTACTTTTTTTCCACATCAGATCCATCAACTAATCTTGGTGTCCTAGGCATTCTTAATCCTCCATCCCATTGCTACTGCTTTAGTCCAGACCACCACCAACTCTCATCTTGAATACTACAGTAATCTCTAGTAGTCTTTTTCCCTTCACTGCTAAAATATATTGCTCACTTTCTAGCAAGAGAGCCCTTTCGAAAATATGAATCAGATCCTTGTGCTCCCTTGTTTTAAGAGCTTCAGTGGATGAACACTGCAGGGAGTCAAAACCCCGTGGGCGTGACCTGTTCTCCCCTCCATCTCGGTTTCCAAAGCCACACAGGCCTTCTCTTTTTATCTTGGAACACACCAGGCTCATTCTTAGGTTGAAACCCAAACTAAATATTTCTTTTTGTCTGGCACACTCTTCACCAAGAATTTCCCTCACACCTTTGTTTCCCTCAGTTGTCAGTGCAAATGTCATCTCCTCAGAGAGACCACTTGACATAAACTAGCTCCACAGTTTTTTTCAACCATGTTATTGTTTCATTTTCTACACTGTACTCATCTCTGCCTGGTATTTTCTTGTCTCCTTCACCTTTCCGTTGTTTATTTCTTCTCACTAGGGTTGGAAGCTCTTGAAGACAACAAGCTCATCTGTTTTGGTTCTGTCTCTGTTGTGCATGCTGAGAACAATACATATCAATATAGAGGCACTCAGGAAGCATGTGTTGAATACATGAGTTGCTATTTTATTTTGTTAGTCCTGTGCAGTAAGATCCGGTTGCCCTAATCATGGCTCTCAGCCTTTTGTACCACTCCGTGGACCTCCCACCAGTTATCTGGAGTCCATATGTTCTCTCCTATAGAAATTTGTCCTCAGTAAAGAATTTTAAACTACATTGACCATAAGCAAAAATAATTGTTGTAACATTTGCAAGTAATGTATTATTTTTTGTGTGATATTTTTGCTATAGGGTACCTATGCTCACTGGAGAGACAGAGAGAGACACAAAGACAGAAAGCCAAGAAACCACCCATCTTCCAGGGGTGATGGTCACACTACAATCCCTTCTCCTCCATTCTCTTCTCAGGATTTGGGGCACACATGTACACAAACCCGCCATGAGTTTCAAGTCACTGGGTCCAGGACCATGTGGGAGTCCAGTGCCTTAAACATTATGCCACTTGCTGGCCCAGTAATGTATCATTTTGACAGACATATATCCTTGACTGAAGGAATTACCAAGCACGTAGAAGATTTTTCTATGATGACTCCTTTTGTGACTGATTTTGCCTGAGACCTTGGAATTTTCATTTAATTTAAAGCAATAATACAACTTACTTTTTCTTTCTCTGAACAAAACAGAGAACAATGACGATAATAGATAAAATGCATACAAGTGCGCTGAGTGGAGCGACTGCAGGTACATGAACAGAAGAAAAATAAGCAGTATCTGAAAAACACAAACCAGAAAAATTCTATGTGTGATTATACTTTCTTCTGTACTTTGTACTGCCATCCTGGTATCTGAAATTTGCAATGCTCTTTTGATTCGCCCCTGCTTTGTTGACATTCAAATCAATACTGTAAGACTTTTTGCCATAGTCTACTTTACGAAAGAATATACTAATGTGTATCGAAATTGCTCTGTGTTCCTCAAAAATTAAGACCTACAATATTCAGTATAAACTACCACTCTCAAGAATAAGAAAAGATGATGTAACCACCTAAATATTTAGTACAGGAAAATAGCTAAACAAAATGCAATATAGTCACTCAATGATCACATTACTAAAATGAAATTTCCAATACATCTCTAACCTCAGAAAATTAATTGATAATATTAATAAATAGTTATAATCAATAGGCTAAGCATTTTGTAATGACTACATTAACAGGATGAGTATAGTTAGTAGGTACAGGTGGGAAAATAGAATTTCTGCAGCTGAGAAAATCATCCCGAAATAGTCAACTAGGTGACAAAACTGGGAAACTAGTTGAGTTCTGACTCCAGAGTCTGTACTCCTTTTTAGTTTTTAAAGTTTATTTATTTCCATAGAGAGAGGGACCACCAACAGGGACCTCACATTGCAATCCTCCCCCAAGCAATGCAGCCAGCCAGAATCTTAAGTCTGCAAGTTCACCTACCATGTGGAGGTAGACCCAGATTGCAAGCCAGAGAATTCCTGGCTGTTGCCTAGCATCACACAGATGTGCCCCCTACCCTCTGTACCACCATACCTGAGCCAGAGCATGTGCTCATGAAAACAACAAACTACAAAATTTTGAGCATCACTATTTTCAAACTAGGTATTTGATATGATATTCCTAAATTAAGTTATGGACATCTCTTCTTCTGTGTAGCCTCCCAAATATAATTTTTCATTGCAACTTAAAGTTTAACAGAAGGCCATCATTATAATTAGCAATGATTATTCTTAGAGGTAATATAAAAATGAACATATCCATTCCTTAAGGAAATTTATGCTTACATTCAATGACATGAAATCTTGTGCATTTTAAAATTCATTATGAAAACAGTCATCATAGGAAAGTCTTACATACTTGATCATCCTTAGGTCTTCTCATAACAGGTTTTCTGGATTTTTATTTATTTATTTATTTATTTCCATCCTCTTCCTGACTGTTCAACAGCTCTCATTTAAAATTTTTTTTCTGCTTATGGTGACTTCTCATCCCTTGTCAATTTGCTGTTTAGAATTTTCCATTACCATTGAAGAAAAAGAGAAATCTTGGCTTGAAGGTCTTTCTTCCATGAAGTGCCATTATAAAAAGCTTATGTTGGGGCCAGCAGGCGATGTGGTGGTGAGGTGCTGGACTCACACGTGGTTGATCATGGTTAGAGTCGTGAACCAGTGGCTTGAAACTCATGCTAGATGCAGGTGTGTACATGTCCCAAATCCCAAGAGGAGGATGGAGGGGAAGGGATTGCAGTGTGGCCATTCCCCCTGGGTGGTGATTTCTCACTCTCTGTCTCTCTCTGTCTCTCTGGCAAGTACACATGCTGTATCGCAAAAATCCTTTTCAAAATAAAATAAAATAGAAGAGATCTTTTATTTCTTTGGTTAGATTTATTCCTAGACATTTTACTTTTTTGTGACTATGTAAATGTAATTGATTTCTTCACTTCTGTCTCAGTTTGCTCATTGTTACAGTTCAAAAATGGCTACAGATTTTTGTCTGTTGTCTTTATATCTTGCAATCTTGCTGAATTTGCTTATGAATTCTAAGAGTTTCTTGGTTGAGCCCTTAGGTTTCTCTCAGTATATAATCATGTCATCTGAAAATAAGGACAAATTAATTTCTTATTTTTTTTTTCCAATTTGGATGACTTGTATGGCTTTGGATGGCTTCCATTTCACTGTCTTGTATGATTGCATTGGCTAGGAACTTCCAGTACTGCTTTCCACTTTTCCTGAGTATGTTAGCTGTTTGTTTGTCACATATGGCCTTTATTGTGTTAAGAAACGTAACCTCTATACCTATTGTGTTGAAAGTCTTATTCATAAAGGGATATTATATTTTATCAAATGCTTGTTCTGTGTTCATTGGGATGATCATATCCTTTTTGTCTTTTCTTCTATGAATGTGATACATTACATTTTTGTTTTACATTTGTTGAACCATCCTTGCATCCCTGGAATGACTCTTACATGGTCATAGTATATAATCTTTTAAAGCGTTTTGGATTCAGTTTGCTTATATTTTGTGGAGGACTTTTTCTATCAGGGACATTGATCTGTAGGTTTCTTTTTCTGTTGTGTTTTATCTGCTTTTGTTATGTCTTGCCTGTCTGTTTTTGTTAGTAAGGCAATGGTTGCTTCATAGAATGAGTTTGAGAGGACTCCTTCCATTTAGATCTTTGGAATTGTTTTAGTAGAGTTGGTATTCATTTCATAAAAAAAAAAAAAAAAAAAAAAGACTTGTAGAATTCAACAGTAAAGTCAGCCAAACTTAGATTTCCTTTTGTGTGTGGGGAAGAGGTGGGTAGAGACTATTACTGATTCAATCTTACTACTTATTATTGGACTGTGTAGGCTTTCTTTATCTTTCTGATTCAATTTAGGTGTATTATATGTATCCATCTCTCCTAGGTTTTCCAGCTTGTTGGCATACAGTTTCTCATAGTAATCTCTAATGATCTTTTGTATTTCTGTGATATGCAATGTATCATTTCTGATGTTATTTATCTAGATCTTCTTTTTCATTTCTAATTTTATTTATCTGGATATTGCCTCTCTTTTCTGTTTTATTCATTTTTATATTACTCTTTTGTTCTCTGTTTCATTTCTTTCTTCCCTGATATTTATTATTTCTTTTCTTCTATTATATTTAGGTTTACCTTGTTCTTGTTTTCGCAGCTTTTTGAGATGTATCATTCGATTGTTTCATTGTGATATTTTTATTTTTCCTTATGAGCACTAATTACTATAAGCTTTCCTCTTAATACTTGACTGTGTCCCAAAGGTTCTTACTTGTAGCATTTTTTATTTTAATATGCTTCAAGGAATATTGCTGTGGTTTCCAGCATTTTGTCTGTTGTTAGTGTGGAGTTAGCATATTCCTTTGGAGGAGAGATGTTTCCTTGCTTTTTCATGTTTCTTGTGTCTCTGAATTGATTTTTCAGCATTTGGTATAGCACTTACTTCTTCTTGATTTAGGTTTAGGTTTTATATAGTGCCAGTGCTTTATTTTGCTTGTTTGTGTATTTTAAAAGGGCCTTTACTTATTGCAGAATTCAGGTTTTTTTTCAGAGGCACTGTAGGTCTCTAGGCCAGTGCTTTTGGATTCTAGGTGAGGTTAGTGTTGTGCACTAGTGCTCCACTTGTAGAAGGGGTGAGTCCCCTCACATCGATGGTAATTGCTTCATGTAGTGTGGTTTCCTGAGTTCTCAGATCCTGTGTAGGGAGCAGGGTCATCCTCTAGGGGACATAGCCAAATGAAAATATCAGCTGGAATTATGTAGTGACCTCTGTCTTGAATGGGTTGCACATAGGAAAGACTGAGAAGTTGCACAGCGGGAATTTGTGTACAATCTCTAGAAACAGAGGAAGCTGTCTACTCCAGTGCCTGATTTTCTCTAAGGCTGTAGCATTCCTCTGCAGGTGGTGCAATGCAAGCAGGTGGTTGTTGTTGGTATAAGAGGAGGCTGACACACACTCTAAGTAAAGCTGCAAGCCTGAATGGAAACTTTGTACCACTGTAATGAAGCTGGGGAGTGGGGGTTAGCTGCTTCAAGTCTGTGCTTCTAGTGAGTGGTGCTAGAGTTGAAAATGTCTGCCCACTGGGCATCAGGGCTGAGTTATGGACTCATGCAGTTAATGTGCACATTGAGTAGGCAGATGTGAACGCCGCTGTCCTGAGTATGTCTCTGCAGCTGGGAGTCAGGTGGCTGGAGCTCACTTGTATCTACAGGGATAGGGGTGAGGCTAATCTGCAAATCTCGAGCTTCACGTTGCACCACCACTGACAGCTCAGGCTATACTGTCTGATGACCTGTGCAGATCTGTGCATTTGGAGGGAGAGGTTGTAGCCCAGCCCAGCTGTGACCTGGTGGGAGTGCCTGTGCTGGCCTGTGTGGACCTGGCCAGTTGGACTGTAGATTGGGCAGGATGATGCCAGTCTGTTCTCCACACATGGAGGTGAGATCCCTAGCATCCTCCTCTTTGTCAACTGTCCGGACCACTTCTCAACTCACTCTTTCAGAAAGTTCAGAGGAGATGTTCCACAGAAGGCAACAAAGGGGGCAGGGTGCTGCTCCCCATGTTGCAAGGGGGCATGGGTGTGTAGTCCTGCCAGTTCAGGGAAAGAATGCTCTGATTTGGCCTCAGAGATGGTGCTGTGCGCCTGAGGTTTCTACTGGGGGAGTTCAGGTTCTCTCTGTGTCAGCAGATCCTTGCAACTCCCCAAGATGAGTTCATAGTCTATGTCCCTCTCGGTGCTCTCCTGCAGTTGAGAAGTGCTGGGGTTCAAGGTGGAAGCAAGAGGCTGGATGCTAGACGCTTGAGGGGGAGTCCTGCTCGCCTCCCCCCCACTGTAATGGGAGGTTTCCATCAACTTCAGCTCCTTTGAGTTTAGACCATTGACCTCCTTTTTTCTCTTCCACTTGAAGCTCAGTGGCCCAAAGACATCCCACAATCCTACTGCTGTGTTCTGTCAATCTCACCCAACTCCTATGCTCCAGGTGCAGCCGTCATCCCACTTTTTTGGACTTTCCTACTGGAGCAATAATGTGATGCCCTAGTTGGCCAGCTTTCCCCTCCATGGAATATATCTTTCTATTGCTGATCCCTTGAAAGAAAAGTATCTCCCCCAACTTCTACTTTTGTTGTTTATGAGATTTTTCTCCTTGTAATTGTTTTGTTAACCTACTTTATTATTATACATGTTAATGTTGTATTGTTTGCTGTTATCTTGCTGGAGTTTTCAGACCTTCTTCAACTTGTGGGTTAATGGATTTCATCACTTTTGGAAAATTCTTGGCTCTTATTTATTCAAATACTGCTGCTGTCAAATTCTCTGTCATATTTTTCTGGGCGTTTCATTATAAATATAGGAGACATTAAAAAGTCATTAAATCAGATGTATTTTAATATCTGTATTTGAGGACGCCAATATCTGGATCTTCCACACGTCTTTGTTACTAGATCTTTTCTCATGGTTTTAAGTCTTATTTTTATTTTTTTTTTTTGGAGAGGTTTTTGCTATAGGGCGCATGCGCTCGCCAGACAGAGACATAGAGACAGAAAGCGAGAAATCACCCCCTAGGGGGGATGGTCACACCGCAATCCCTTCTCCTCCATTCTCCTCTCGGGATCTTGGGCACACGCACACACACGCCCGGTGTGAGTTCTAAGCCACTGGGTCCGGGACGTGAACCGCGGTCGACTACGTGGGAGTCCAGCGACATAGCCATTACACTAACTGCTGGTTCCCTCATGGTTTAAAGTCATTTTTGACTTTTTAAACGCATGGTTATTTATACTTAATGTTAGACCTTGTATATGAAAAATTGTTGAGATAATTGAAGGTTTGGAATTTTTGTAATAGCTTTATTGCCATATAATTTACATGTTATACAATTACCCATTTAAAGTGTACAATTCAATGATTTTCAGTTGTTTACAAAGTTCACCTACAGGGGCCAGCTGGTCGCGTGGTTGTTAAGGGCACTGGACTCCCACATGGCTGATTGCAGTTCGAGTCCTGGACCTGGCAGCTTGCTTTCTCACTTTCCCTCTCTCTCTTTCTCCCTCTTACTCTGTCCCTCTCTGATCAGCTTAAAATAAATAAATAAATAAATAAAGATAAATCAAATAATTTTTAAAAAACAAAGTTTACTTAGACATTAGTAAATCAATGGTAGAATGTTTTCATTACCCAAGAAGAAACTCCATACTCTTTAGACATAACCTCCAACTCTTTATAATCTCACCCCTAAGAAACCACAATCTATGTCTCTGTGATTTACTTGTATGTACTTTTCATAGAAATAGAATCATATAATATGTGGTTCTTTTGTGCTGGACAATTTTTCTCTTTCTCTAGAGAATATTCACTTTTGCTTTGTGTGTTTATGTTATGCATAGATTACCCTAATCAAATCAGAGATTTAGATAATTTGAAATAGGCTTCAGTCCTTGAGAAATGTCTTTTGGGTTCACTCTGACCTCATAGGGTATAAAAATGTGGAGTTTTAAAACTGGGGTAGATACCAGAGCACTCTGTCTTGGCAGTTTTTTCCCTTCAATGTTTACTTCACTAGCTCTAAATTAACTGCTCAAATTTCTGCTTAGCTGTTTAGCATCTCCATTTTTACTTTTACTTCAATAATTGGTAGTTTTGTTTAGTGAAAAGGTCTTAGCTTCTTTTTTTTTTTTTTGAGAGATTTTTGCTATAAGGCACATGCGTTCACTACTGATACAGAGAGAGAGACAGAGAGATAGAAAGTGAGAAATCACCTGGGGGAGGCAGGGGATGGAGACAGCCACTCCACAATCCTTTCTCCTCCATTCTCCTCTCAGGATTTTGGACATGCACACATGCACATGTGCCTAGCATGAGTTTCAAGCCACCAGGTCGAGGACTCGAACTGCAGTTGATCATGTGAGAGTCTTATCACCTTAACCACTACACCACCTGCTTGTCCCTAGTTTCTCATTTTTATTGAGTGTTGTCCCTAACAACTTTTAATTACTTGGTAATAAGTCTTTAATGCTTAAAAAAAGATTTTAAAAAGTATTATGTTTAAATTTCCTTGATGTTTTGAGGGGGATGGTCCAAACCCAACTACCCTTATTACTCAATTTCATATCGATCATCACCTTTTTATCTTTCACAATTGCCTTTCTATAACTTCACTGTTAAGAAGGCTCTTATCACCATGTTTGGAAGTTAATGCACTTTGAACCCTCATTTTCAGAAGTGCAAAATATCATTGCATTGCCTTAGATACTTTGTATAGAAATTGTGAAGGGTTCCCCGCTTACCTGCAACCAGTTTCCAGCTCTTTCTCCTGAAAAAAAAAGTAGAACTGCCACTCTCATTCTAGCATTTCCCCCCGTTTTCAGAATCCCATTAGGTTTGACTAAAAAGTAGTACAGAATAAGGTTTGGATGTTGGATATGTTTGGCAAATCCTGTTTACCTCTTAATCTGGAATAATATCACTCCATTACATGACAGATAATGGTATAAAGCTTCCCATCATATTAACTGTACACTAATAGATTTTTATCTCCATTTTGTGTTTCACAACCAATAGATAAATAATTGTTTTTTTCTCTCAAGCTTACCATTGCTTTTGATCCAATTTATTTTCAAGACACAAATCTTTGCTGCATTAGTTTGTCTTTTGCGAGGTTAAACAACAACCATAGCAGACACTGTACTTGGCATCATCATGTGACTAATTCAGAAGATAATCGTGGAAACCAGAAATAAGAGCTCGTTCAATGGCCGTATCTGTTACAATATTAGTTGAATGATATAATATTGCTGAAAATCGATAATTTTTACCTATAAAACAGGTAATTTTGTAATATTAAACCTAATATAAATGAACAAATATCATTCAAACAATTTGAGAGTAGTCTAACAGAGTCTCCAAGTAGGAGAATGAAACTTTCACCAACTTAGAGGACTTTTCTTATTTTTTAAGACTTAGTACCTTTGGCCAGTTTCCCCTTTCAGAGTAATCATGCAAATTCTCAACTTTACCCAGGTCAAATAGGAAAGGGATAGGTATACCTTTCCTGTCATCTTCAAAATTTTAAGTTTGCCTTAGGGCAAAATGCATTCAGTTGTGACTGAGGATTCAATGACAGGATAAACCATGTCCTGATGTCAAAGAATTATGTATTCTCCTCTTTCTACTGAAACAAAGGACCAAAGACAATGTTGGCTCAATATTTTAGAGCAAATGCTCTAATTCTTTTATTCTGTATCCTAGAGTTTTGGCGATGATATTGCCACAAACTATGCCATTTGAATACATTAATAAATTAGTAGGAGCCACAAAGAGAGTATCCCAAACATCTCTATGAGAAAAACACTTTTCTGAATTGTCCCAGAGCTTTAAGCCATTCAGCTTACAATGGTATTATCACTGTCCTTCCTGTAAACCATATTCTTTCTTTTTTTTCAAGATTTTGCCATAGGATGTATGTGTTTGCCAGAGAGAGACAAAGGGAGAAAAAGTAAGAAATAATCCCCTGGTGGGGATGGCCATGCTGCATTCCCTTTTCCTCCAGTCTCTTCTCAGGATTTTGAGTGTGCGCGCACACACACACACACACACACACACACACACAGCATGGTTTTCAAGTTGCCAGGGGAGAATTTGAACCACAGTCAGGCATGTGGCAGTCTAGCACCTTAACCATTACTCCACGTGCTGACCCCTAACCTATATTCTTTAATTCTAGGCTTAATGGTTCTGGGAATTTTAAGCTGTATACCTTGATCTTCATTGCTGGAAGTTTTTTGAAATTATTGGGCTGTATTTCAGGTTTTGGGAAGTTAAGGAAAAATGTTTCTCATCACTTAACTGTTTTATCTTCTATTAAGGGCTTAGCCTTTTCAAGCTATATTTTATCAGAAGGAAAAAAATGAATTATTCTATACCATCCCCCCATCCTTCTCCTAATTACCCATGGGATTTTCCCCTGAAAGATTTAGACATAATGTGTCTGGGATCTTTGAGTCTGTCCCACTTCAAAGGCTAAGCTGCATGAACACAACTGTGACAAATTTCAGTATTAAGTGTAAAATACTTCATAAATATTGGATTCATCAGGACTGATGACATGCATCACTAGGGAAAAATCAAACAAGATTTGACTATATAAGGACACATAAATAGGTTCACAATTAGAATATATAGCAAAAGGGACCAGCAGATGGCATAGGGGTTATGAAGCTGAACTCCAACATAGTCAAGCGTGGCTTAAGTCCTGAACTTGGGGGCTTGAAACTCACACTGGGCATGAGTGTGTGTGTGTGAGTGTGTGTGTGTGTGTGTGTGTGTG